TGACACACGGATGGTCTGAGTAACTGATGGCTCATCTAAGAGCACATGAAGGTGAACCATTAGAAACTGCAGGAGGAAAAACCCACAGCAGAAGCACTGACAGACATGAGCCCGTCATCTTTAATATGTAGCACAAGCCTGAGGAAAACAGCTTTGCACATTAACCAGCAGTCAGTGAGTCGAACCTGCAACAAACCGGAGCAAAAACATTTCTGCATAATAGGTTACATTCAGAAGATTCCTGAAGATACTGGACACGAGAAATGAAGGCATGCTGAGTGTCACATGGCGTTCAAATATAAACAGTGATGGGGGTAACGCATTACAAGTAACACAATCACGTAATCAGTTTACCTTTTCAAGTAAATAGTAAAGTAAGGCATTACTTTTTCATTTACAAGAAAATATCTGATCTATATCTTTTTCAAATAAGTAACAGCAGTTACTTTGTTTCCATCAGAGCATGTGAGCGAAGCGGAGCGGTGTGACGTTCCGCTACGTTTTCCGCTCTATGGACGTGCGCTCCACTCAGTCACTCTAACCGCCCAAGCAAGCGCTCCGCTAATATTCCGCTCACGCTCGCCGTAAACCAATTTCCGCTCAGATCCCGCTCCGACATAAAATTTCTCTAGTAGGCCTAATTGTTTACTGTTTGTAACAAAATTCTTGGATAATTGTCTAAAATTAAGCATGCTGATAAATAGCAATTATCATGTTTCAGAGCGAAATTCTTACATTCTTCTTAATTTTATTAATTGTAATGTATTAATTCAAATGTATTAAATATATGAATCTAACCTTAGCAAACCTACCTAAAATGCAAAAACTGAAAAAGTGTATTTGATTTTCGTTAACTTTATTTCCGTGAAAATAGCTGCCATTGTTGTGCAATAGAACATTCAAAACAGGCTCATTAAAACACAAACGCACACACACACGAGATGAAATGTGCGTAGATCTTTACAAAATACACCTGGATTATAAAGCCTGTGAAAAGCACACACAAGATAAAATGCAATTAAAGAACGCTTAGATTATGAACTGATGTCAATGAAAGAAACACACTTTCTAGTGTCAAGTTAAAATAGACCATAACTGCGGGGAACTGTGGTCTATTAAAACGTCTCTTGATGTTTACTGGATTTTAGAATTTACTTTAAGAAACATTAGCTTGGACAAAGTGTCAGGCTTCAGCATTCGGTGTGCCCGAAAACACCTGCTCAGCACTGGAAGAACCACTGGGGATGCTGAAGATTTTGCGGGCGACCTTGGCTAGTTGAGGGAGGGATCCAGCACTGGTTTTCCAAAATCCAGCAAATCCAGCACTGGTTTTGTAGGCGTGTATGCTAATATCTTCTGTACTCTGTAGTTCTGTATTTAGGCCTATATACAGCTGTGTGTTAGCTTAGGTCTACAGTTTAACTGAGATTATTTAATAACT